AGGTAGCTCACTCCAAACGCTCAATAGCCTGGGTCATGCTACACATGACATCATCTGGGAGGGAGCGCGCTCCATCCCTTGAAGGGTACCGGGGCAAAGGTTGCCATCGGCCACCTCTGCCATGACCCCTAGTACTCTTCAATGGATAGTAGGGTGCGGATTCCTTCCCAACTCGGCGGCTCGTAGCCGTGGGTGGCTAGGGCCACCCTGATGCCTCTCTGGCCGACATAGGGCTCAGAGTCTCTTGGGGTTGGGAGGGGTTTGGTACGGAATCCGTCAATCTCGACAGAGATGGTGGACTCGTGTCCACTCTAGCTACTCAGGGAGTAGTGGGATCTAAGGCCTCGCACGAGTGCCATGATGATGGTGAACCTCCTTGAGCTCTGGCTGAGTGTGTCTCTACCATGGCTGGGTCCTATGGGTGCTTAGATGTCAATGCAATCCTATATAAATGGTCTACTAGTGGTATGGAAGCTCGGTGAACATCCTCAGGGGATCGAGGTTAGGTGGTAACCCAACTTGGCGCTAATACTAACTTGGTGTAAGACAGGGTGAGAACCCTTATATTTGATCAATGAAACTCAAGACCCGAGATGGAGCAATCAAACCGATCCAATGAGAATGTATTGACCCTCGACTCTAGGTCTGACCACCTAACCTAAGTATAGGCAGGCGTACCAATATGCACTATCAACCCAGGACAACCCGAGAAAACACTCGACGATGGTAAGTGTGAGACCCTCTCGGTCCACGTCTAAACAAACGGCAGAATGGTCGTCGCGAAGTAGCTTAGGGCTGCAGCTCACGAACGGTGACGAGTCTGACACAACGTCAGAAGTCACGATCCTATAACCTATCCTATCCTGTCTACGTTCTCCTGATGGCGGTGGAAATGTGCTGAGAAAACCCTTCAAAAGATAATTAAACTTAAGTAAAAAGGGGTACAGAGCTAACCTTCAGTGCTGTGTAGCCTAGTGGGTCGTGACAGAGCGGAGACTCGACGTAAGAAGAGACGTTTGGTGAAGAGCGATGTTCAGCGTCGACGGTCAGTTCTAGTCGAGAGTCGCAGTAGTCGTCGTCGTAAGGCGTGGCACAGTCGGCGAGGACGTGGGCCTGCTGGTGGGCCAAAGGGCACGCTAGCAGGCACGTGTGGCAAGCTGCGCGGCATGCCTCAAGGTTTGTAGGCGGTGGCGCCGGGTGGGCGCGTGGGCCACAAAAGCTGGCGCGCGCGGCGGCGACGCTTCGGCAGGAATGCCGAGCATCGACGATTGGGCAGAAGCCCAACTGTCGCCGGAAGGATCGGCCTTCTCTGGCAGCGCCGAGAAGTGGAGTAGAGGAAGGAGACGATCTCAGCCAACGATACCAAGGAGGGTTGAGCCCTCCTGGTCTAGGCGGCGCCGAAAATGGCACGACGGCGGCTGATCGTTGAGAAACTCTGGCGGGGGCCTGTGAGGAGCTTGGACTGGATCTGGCTCGTTGGCACGGCTGCAAGGTCTCTCCCGACGTTGGCGGCAGGTAGACATTCGTCGGCAAACAGCCAGCGATTGGGTGGAGCGGTGGATGGCAGCTCTGGCGAGTTTATGGTGGAGTTCCAAAGGAAGAGGTGGCAGGCGAACTAGGAGTCAAGAGCCTCCGGCGGAGTACTCAGTGATGGCTCATAGGGAGGCGAAGCAAGCCCCTTTCGTCACGACAGCATGACGGGGTTCTAGCAGAGGCGGTGCCAATTGCAGTGGCAACTGCAACCGTTTTGTCTGGTGACGGCAGCAATGAAGATGTCCAACGGCAGCAGTTGGTCTCAGGTGGCGGCGAGACTTATCAGGCAGTAGCGTCACAATGAATGAAGTCCTCAAAGGGTATCGACAGGCTTCCTCTCCCTCCTTCCCTCCCTACCCTAGGTCACGAAGAAGGTAACTCACAAACGATAATCTCTCACAAAATTTGGCACTTCGGGTTGAGGGGGGGTCCTAGCTCCCCTTATATAGGGCCCACAAGTGGGCTAAGGGGAGGTGGGCCCACTTGAGGCCCTCAAGCCCATAAGCCACAAAAAGGCTACAAAAGGGGCTTATTGGGCCTCTAAAAGAGAGACCCAATAAGCTCCCCTAAAAGGAGAAAGAGGAGGGCCCTCGTACGGTGCTTAAGTGGGCCTCAAATGAAGACCCAAATAAGCCCCAAAAGAGGCCCAAAAGGAAAGAAACATAGGTTCCCCCCCTTAGGGTTTTAATTGGGCCTCAAGAGAGAGACCCAATAAAACCCTAAAGAAAGGGAGACACAAACAACAACACACACACATAGAATTGGGCCCGCTAACACACAAACGGGAGGCCTAACAAGTCAATGTGAAAATACAAAGAAAGATAAGGGTGAGCTTGAGCTCGTCGTCATCACGGAGGTGGAATGTCGTCGTCCTAAAGGGCTAGGCCATGTAGCGAAAGCCAGGCTCCTTTGTTTTCGCATGGGAAGCTCCTTTAGGAGTACGTCGGCGTACTCCGATAATATACCCTCGACTTCTGGAGAAGGCAGGGTAAGGGTCGTGTTGTCTCGCATATCCAAAGTGAGAGCGAAGCACGGCAGGGATCCATATATGTCCGACGTGATCTCGTGCTGAACGAGATTTTGAACAAGATTGAACTTTATATTTTCAAATGAACAATGATAATCAGTTTTGTCAAAAAGATGGTACAACAAACATCTTATTCAAATAAGAATGATATCTAATTTTCATGATAACTTTAAAGACACCACCAACCTCAACCTTCATCACATTGTCGTCACTTTGATAGATGAATCGTTCATCTTCATTTGACTTGCAATGAGTGAGATAAACCTGCATAAATACACTCACATCATGAGTAGTGGCACCAGAATCTATCCACCGTGTGTATCTTGGTACATAAGTTAGATTAATTTCTCAACAAATAAAAGAGAGAAATGTACTTTTTTTCTTGAACCACTCAAGATGTTTAGCACAATCTTTCTTCAAGTGTCCAACCTTCTTTTATAAGAAACAACATACTTCTTTTTGTTGTTTTTTCTTAAGTGGACTACTAGCAATTTGTTTGCCCATGCATTTTCCTTTACCATCTACTTTTTTTCATGAGGATAGAATGAGTTAAGTACTTTCATATTATTTTGACTTTAACCTGTCCTTCTTGCACACAATGCAAAATGAACTCATTAAAGGACCAAGGGTCCTTTTAACAATTATAGTTCACCTTAAACTAATTGAATTGTACAAGAAGAGAGTTCAAAGCCATGTAAATAATGAATTCTCCTGAAAGTTCCAAGTTTAATACCTTTAATTAAATGTGAGACATTTCTATTATGTACTATTTTATGTGCCATTTTCCTTTATATTTCATATTCTATTATGTGGATAACTCTTCTCAATTTATTAGATGAAAAGTTTGGCATTGGTTGTCTCTTCAGCTAAGGTATCCATTAAGGTATCAAGAATTGTACACTTGATGACCATTAGGCACATGCAATTTGATCTATCTTAATTTTCATAAGTCTTCTTTTCTTCAATGAGAAAAGAATCCTTAAAAGTAGTAATGATACAAATTCCATCCATTTCTTAAAGTTGTACCACTTAGTTTTTGAATAGAATTCAAATTCGTACAGATATTTAAAACTTTTTTGGAAGTAAAAATTCAAACAATGATATTATTTATCTCAAGAGATCTAACACAACATTAATACTCATCTATGGATGATATATTAATTTGTAAGTAATAATCTTGGCATGCTAGTCAAAACAATTAAACAATAAAAGATGATAAACAATAAACCTTTCTTTGAGCTGACTTAGTGTTTCTTTTCATATAAATCAATGATTGTAAAATTTACTAACATTGATGTAATTATTATTTGGTCAAATATTTATTTTTATTTGGGTCAACAAGTGTTTGCATAAATAGTATCATAATCATCATAGTTTTTGAAATGAGCACTTTAAAAAAAAGAGGTTGATATATCAACATATTGTTGGCAATAAAGTGAAGTAAGAAATTAAATTGTCAAAATACTAATGAGATAATATTAAAATGGGCAAAAATGTCCTTTAAAACCCATGTTGGGCCGGACTTGTCAGGGCGGCGTTATGGGCCGCGTCTGTCGCGACAGACCTAGTGGGCTGCGCCTGGCCCGGCGGTCCTAGTGGGCCGAGCCCAAAAAAAGGGGGCCATTTCGCACACAGGCCGAGCAGCCTAGTTGGCCGCTGCCAGGCCTGAGCCCATATCGCTGGGCTGTTGTGAACGGGAGCCTTGCACGTGCCCCACCCCCCCCCTCTGTTTGCATAAGTGCATAGTGCGGTTATGCGAGAAGTGTTCTAACGTATACACGTCAGGGCGCATTGTGAGGTAATGCGGAATTAGGTAATGCGGGATTTCCTGCATAACGCACGGTACTGGCCAGTTTTGGCCAGCTAGTTATTTCTTACGGTTATTCCTTTCCCCCCTTTGATTTCTTATTTAAAGAGGGCTGTAAGAGGTTTCCAATAGCGAGAAAGTTTTCCTTGTTCCTCCTGCTGTTTTTCCTGTGACTCGTGAGGTGATCTCGCCGGCGACGTCTTAACTGCCGTCGTCTCTCCGGCGAGTTTCTGACATGGGCAGGCCCAGTGGACCGCGCCAGTGAGCGCGCAGGACCGGGGTCCAACAGACACGCCGGGAGGCGCCGCGCAGAGAGGCCTGCGCCCGATCCGGCAATCGCCGGAAACATCGGCGGGCGCTGCAACAGCCTCAGGCGACGCCACGATGGTGCTTCGTGGTGACGCCCGCGCGCTATCCGGCAATCGCCGGAAACATCGGCAGGCGCCGCTTGGCGACGCCCGCCCGCTATCCGGCAATCGCCGGAAACATCGGCAGGCGCCGCAAAACCCTCAGGCGATGTCGCGATGGCACAATGGCGACGCCCGCCCGCTATCCGGCGTCGACGGAAACGACGGCAGGCGCCGCAACACCCTCAGGTGACGCCGCGATGACGTGTGACCTTAAGAGGCCGCAATGCCGCGTCGCGTGTTGCACGGCCTTCGGGGGATGCCGTCAGGGCTCCCCGCGCCATTGCGCGGCCATTTCCGGCGGCGTACGGATGCCGCAAACGGCAACATAAAACGCGGATATTCAAGCGTTGAAAGCACGATGAAACGGGGAAAAAAAAAAATCATCGATGACCATGGCTCTGATACCAATTGATAGAAACGAAATTGCAGAAGCGTACCGCCAGAATCCATGAGACGGGATGGCCTTCTGCTTCAGTCACCGGAGAATTTCTCCACTGACAGATGGCGACCTTGAGGACTCCGACGATGATGAAGCAGGGACCAAACCCTTGAATTTATAGCCTCGAAAAGAGGCTCGACGGTTTCAATCCCTTCCATCAAAGGATTGAAACCGTCGGACGATTTCAATCCCTTCCATCAATGGATTGAAACCGTCGACCAGATTCTACACGATTTTTCTCCATACTCCATTCCATAACGCCTCATAACGGCTGTTGCAATAACCATTATGCACAATAATGGTATGTACAACCCACAAAACGGAAATATCCAACATTATATTGTTATCTATATTTAGTAGAGGTTTGTTCAAATTGAGAATCAACTTGTTTCACTTGCATTTTAGTAAAACCTAAGTACGCCAGCATCCGCCGAATCTCCTCCACACTGATGTATTCGAAGGAATCCAAGCGCTTGGCGGATAAGAGCTCCGTGAGGCACAACCTCCTCGCCTGCCGCCAGTACGGCCCGTACGGGGCCCAAGCGATGTCCGAGTAGTTGTAGGTCGTGTACTTGCCCGCCGCCGTCCGCGGCCGCGAGGCGAAGACCAGGTCCTGCTTCTTCAAGAACTCCGTCGCCATCTCCACCGACGACCCCACCACCACCCGCTGCGATCCCAGGTAGAGCTGCATGATGGGACCGTAATTCCGGAAGAGCTCGTGGATGGACCTGTGCGGCAGCTCCCCGATGAGGTGCAGGCTGCCGACGATGGGCCACGGCCGGGGGCCCGGCGGCGGAGGAGGCCGCTTCTTCCGGTGGGACGCCAAGAGGACCATCAAGATGGCGGCGGAGGCCAGAAGCGCCGCCGTGTAGAGGGCCCAGGTGGGGAGAGTGCCTCCGTCCATGGGCACCGCGGGGAAGTCGGAATAGGGAGCTGGTAGCGTCGCTGGTGGTGGTGGTGGTGTGTGTGGTGAGGGGTGCAATTTATGGAGGAGGTGGCTCGGTGAGAGGGTCAGACATGAGCTCGCCTGCGGTCTGGAGAGAGAGAGAGAGAGAGAGAGATTGGCAAGTTGTGCAAAAGGGATAAGATAGCTTCCTTAGGGCGCATCTAAGGAAACCCTTAGATGCGCCCGAAGGAAGTGTTATTTGCATGTTCATTTTCCTTTCCCTTGATGTAGCTCCCCTTCTCGCATGCACATTGAGAAGTTTTCATTATCATGAATTAATAATTAATAAATAATATAGTTTTAGTCTTAACTCATAATAAATAGATTTATATTTATATTAAAGTATGAAAAGTGGTTTTCAATTTATTAACGTAAATTTTTGGCTAATTATGTGATTTTCTATACATTTATATGATTTTTATAGTCTTATTTTGAGATAAATAAAGAAAAAGAAATTAAAATAAAAATATAGCAAAATAGAGGATACTCACTGGTAAGCTGAGCCCACAAGTGAGTCGAAAGCACAATCAGGGCAGAGCCGCTAGTAGAGGCTCAAGCGGTTAGGACTGATGGGGGCACATGTGTGCCACTTCCTTTCCACATCACCTGTGGCCAGTCAACTGTGGGGCGAGTGATTATACACATGAGAGAAAGGGACTTACTTACAAATGTAATATTACAATATATTTGCTCGAAACTTCGGTGCACAAGCGATGTGGGACTAAACTTATGTCACACCTTCCCCATAAAGCTTTGATAATTTTAATACCTATAATACCCCTTATTTATAATAAAAATATATCATAATGACGTCATTTGATAAGAGTATTATAGTACTTATTTCAATCTCTCTCATATAAGTAAGCAACCAGTATAGGTTAGAATCTTCCTAAAGCCAAAGCTCATATTTTTTATCTGATTATCATAACTTTCTTACAAATCACTAGTGAAGGATTAAGCCACTATAATCGCTAGATCATCAACAAAAATTTTGTCAACACAATTCGCATAGCACTATTACTAAAATTATTGAACGATTCATGATAAAAAAATTACGAATCCATCGAGTAAAATATCTTTGATTGATTGATGAACAAATAATCATTGGGAAGAGGACGATCCACTAGGAGACGAGTTGCCACCTCTTGAGAGCGTACGAGATGCGATGAAGAGCCTTCTCTTGTTATGCGAACCTAAGGAAGAAGCTCTCTAACATGTGCCCCACCTCCATCCAGCTCCTCTCCATTGGGTGACAGCCACCGAAGAGCAGCAAAGTTGTCATTTTTTCACTCCGCCGGGTGACAGTTACTGGAGACGATTCAACTACCCATTTCATTAATCTCTAGACTTTGTAAGGAGATCTAGAGATTGCCCACATCATCCTTGTCCAAAGAGAGCCATCAAGGCTATAGACACTGCACAATGATCTTTCCGAACACTCAAGATTCTAGTGCATTACTGACATGACTTAGTTGTTATATAGTAAATCACATAAATTTAAAATTTATAAAACTAGAAAATATAATTTTTTGAATATTTAAAAGTATTTCTGAACAAATATATCAATTATAATTCAATAAAACTTCCAAACATAACGATACTTTTTCAAGTCGATCACAGAGATGTAATATAATATTTGATAATTATTCAGATTTTTTCTCAAAGAATACTAGTTTCTATGAATTTTCTACTAGGAAATGAAAAGAAAATATATTTAAAATTCACAAAAAAGGGAAATAAGGGTGCGGACATCAAGATGATGTCAGCACCCAGCGAATGTGAATCGAATGAAAACAGAGTTTCACCCGACGATTCTTATGTAAGTGACTACATACGAATTAATTGATCAAATTAAGATCTATAAAAGCCAAAAGAAACGTAATTGAATGAAGTATATCTTGATAAATTTAAATCACATAAATTATCACTAAATGAAGCAGAAAGTAAGTTGAAAGCAAAAAAATAAAGTTCTAACGTCATGGCGGCGATGTGTCGGCAATGCACCAGAATTGTGAGCATTCAAGAGGATCATCGTGCAGTGTCCATGGCCTCGAAGCCTCTCCTTAGATAAGGATGACGTGGGTAATCTCTAGATCTCCTTGCAAAGTCTAGAGATCAATGAAATGGGTCGTCGAATTGTCTCCAACAGCTGTCACCCGGTGGAGTGGAAAAATGACAATTTTGTAGCTCTCTAACAGTTGTCACCTGATGGAGAAGAGTTAGATGGAGGTGGGGCACGTGTCAGGGAGCTTCATCTTCAGGTTCGCGCAGTAAGAGAATGCTCTTCATCACATCTGGTACACTCTTAGGAGGTGGTGACTCGTCTCTCGGTAGATCGTCCTCTTCTTGACGATAGCTTGTTCATCGATCAATCAGAGATACTTTATTCAATAGATTTGCGATCCTTTTATCATAAATCTTTCAACAATTTTAATAACAATGCTTTGCAAATTGTATTGATGAGATTTTTGTCAATAATCTAGTGATTATGGTCGCTTAATCCTTCACTAGCGATCTACAAGAAAGTCGCAATAATCAAATAAAAAATATGAATTTTGGCTCTAGGAGGATTCAAACCTGCGACGATTACCTACCCTTTCTGGGGAAGGTGTGATGCGGGTTTAATCTCACATCGCTTGTGCGGCAAAGTGTCTAGTGAATATATAGTAATATTACATTTTTGATCAAGTCTCTTTCTCACGCAAGTGCGGCCACTCTTTACCCCACAACAAGTTGGCCACCAATGATGTGGAAGGGGAGTGGCGCACATGTGCCCCTATCAGCCCAAGCCGCTTGAGCCCCTGCTCGCAGCTACTCCTTGACTGCGCTTCCAACCTGCTTGCGGGCCTAGCTGGCCAGTGGGTCCCCCCCATTTTGCCTTATTTTTATTTTTATTTCTTTTTCTTTATTTATCTCAAAAGTAAGACTGTAAAAATCATATAAATTCGTATAAAATCACATAATTACCTAAAAATTCACATTAATCAACTGAAAACCATTTTTCATACTTTAACACACATATAAGTTTATTTATAATGACTTAAGGCTAAAACTATATTATTTACTAATTATTAACTCATGATAATGAAGACATCAATTGCCGAGGTATCACTGGTGCAATGTTGGAACTCTATTTTTTTGGTTTCAACTTAATTTTTACTTTATTTAGTGATAATTTGTGTGATTTAAATTTACCAAGATATACTTCATTCAATTACGATTTTTCTGGCTTTTACATATCTTAATTTGATCAATTAAATCGTCTCTAATTGCTTACGTAAGAATCATCGAGTGAAAATATGTTTCTACCCGATTCGCATTCGCTAGGCACTAACGTTATCTTAATGTCCGCACCCTTATTTCTCTTTGTCATGAATTTTATTTTTTTTTCATTTCCTAATATAAAATTTATAGAAAATAATATTTATTGAGAAAAATTCTGAATAATTACCTAATATTATATTACATCCTTATGGTCGACTTGGAAAAATATCATTATTTTTGAAAGTTGTATTGAATTATAATTGATATATTTGTTTAGAAATACTTCTAAATATCTTAAAGTTTATATTTTTTAGTTTTATAAATTTTAAATTTACGTCATTTACTATATAATGACTAAGTCACGTCAAAATTTTGGCACCGTTGCTGAGGATGTATTATATAATATTTAGTATTTTTCTATTTTTCTCTTAGAGTATGCAAAAAAAATTAACTCTTATTTCAATTCCTTCTTGTTGAATTTTTTTTTTTAAACGAACGAAGAGAAGCAAAGCAAAGACTAGAGCATACTAAAGGAAGGTAATAATTACTAAACTTTTTCCTTGATTTTATTATTTTTTAATGCATGATAGAAGATCCTTATATCTAAGGCTAGAAAGTTCTTTCATTATTTCATTCAAAACTAAACTCCGAAATAAAAATTTATTTTGATGAATCTTGAAGGAAGTAGAGGTCAAACTGAGAACAATCTTATGGCTATGAAAAATTATTATATCCTTGATTCATTTCAAAGAGCATCTAATATTAAAGTTTTATTAGCACCCACTATTAAATTAGAAATAAATTCAAGAATTTTTCAAATGCTCCCTAATTTTCATGGATTATCTTTAGAAGAACCTCATCAACACTTAGAAAAATTTCATATGATCTGTGATTTAGTTAATCTGTCTCAAGTTACACTAGAAATTATTAAGATAAAAAAAATTTCTTATATACTTAGGGACAAAGCTAGTCATTGGCTATGAACATTAGATAGAGAATTAACTAACTAGAAATACATAGAACATGCTTTTCTTCAAAAAATTTATCTCTTAAGAAAAACTCAAAATATGAGAAAATATATATTAAGTTTTTCTCGAAGACCATGAAAAACTTTGTATGAGACATGGGAAAAATTTAAAGATTTACTTAGAAAATGTCCTCATCATGCTATACCCAACTGATAGCTCAATAAAAAATTTTATGATAAATTATTAGAACAACATAGAAACATGATTGATTTTATATGTGGAGTAGTTTTCATGGAGAAAACTCTTGATGAGATTTTAAGTTTTTCTGAGAATTTAAGTAAAAATTTTAGAGACCAAGGATTGATGTGACTTAGTCGTTATATAGTAAATCACACAAATTTAAAATTTATAAAACTATAAATATAAATTTTTAGATATTTAGAAGTATTTTTGAACAAATATATCAATTATAATTCAATAAAACTTCCAAAAATAGTGGTAATTTTCTAAGTCAATTACAGGGATGTAATATAATATCTGGTAATTATTTAGAATTTTCTTCAAAGAATACTATTTTCTATAAATTTTATACTAAGAAATGAAAAGAAAATATATTTAAAATTCACAAAAAAGGAAAATAAGGGTGCGGATGTCAAGATGACATCAGCGCCTGAGGAATGTCAATCTAACAAAAATAGAGTTCTACTTGATGATTCTTACGTAAGTAATTACAGACTATTTAATTGATCAAATTAAGATCTATAAAAGCCAGAAGAATCGTAATGAAATGAAGTA